GGACCACCTGAAAGACATAGGAGGGGCCTTCCAAATACTTCGGAATTACGGGCTGAAACTGAATACGTCCAAGTGTTCGGTATCAGCTTTGGCAAGTTCCTCAAGTATTTGGTAACCCGTCGGGTATCAAGGTCAACTGCAACCAAATAGAGGTTATACTGGAAGTGTCGAGGCCTTAGATGAGCAAGGACATTTAGAAGCTCATCGGGATGCTTTCGACGCTCAACCGCTTTATATCCAGGTCCTCGGACAAGTGCAAGCCATTTTTCCAAAGCTTGAGGAAGGACCAGAATGATGTATGAGGTGATGAGTGCGGCTGAGCATTATAGGAGATTAAGGGATACCTAAGAGTAGTCTCCTACCCTCTTAGTGCTAAAGCCCGAGGGGACACTCTACTTGTACTTAGAGGTTTCTAAACACGTGGTCACTGGAGCGTTGGTCAGGGAAGACGAATCAGAAAAAATAGCTATGCAGTATGCATTACATCTACAAAACTCTCCTTAATCTCTAGACTAGGTACCTTCCTCTGGAAAAAGTAACTCTGGCCTTGGTCATAATGACCAAGAAACTCATATGTTACTTCTAATCAGACCTTATCGTAGTCCAGACCGACTAGCCATTGATGGCCGTCCTTCGGAAAGCAAAGCTATTGGGGAGAATTGCCCATCGGACTAGTGGAGTGTGACATCCAGTATCAGCCCTGAATCCATTATGGGGCAAATCTTAACAGATTTCATTATTGAATTCACACATTCCAAACCCGCTTCACTGGAGCGAGAGTCGTCTGATAACCCGGAGGTCCCCCGTGGGATTTGGAGTTTACATGTGGATGGATTATCCAATGCTTGGGGGGAAAGATAGGTGTTGTCCTGACCAACCCGAATGGATCCACATTTGAATAGGCCATCAAACTTAGCTTCAAAGCGTCAAATAATGAAGTTGAGTACAAAGGTCTCGTCTCAGGACTTGACATAGCAAAAGCAGTAAAGACCGACCACCTACAAATGTTTTGTGATTCACAACTGATTGTAAACCACGTGAACGGGGAGTTTGAGACTGGCAAACCCAGGATGAAGGCTTACCACCAAACAGTGCGGTCAATGATAGTAGAGCTCAAGGAGGTCCGCGTCTCACAAATTCCTCGAGATCATTATAGTCATGCAGATGCCTTGGTGTGTCTAGCCTCGGCCAGCAATTTGGATATCACTTAGAGGATAACCGTGGAATACTTGCACCAATCTAGCATCAATGACTTGGCACCAGTTCTAACTCACCTGGTCGAATCCGACAAGTCACCCCATGCCGGATGGATCCCATAATTGGCTACTTGAAGACGGTGGAGCTTCTTAAGAGCCGAAATGAGGCTCGAAAGATCAAACTCAAGGCCTAGAGGTTTTGGGTCTCCCCCGATCATAAAGTTTATCAAAAATCTTTCTTGGGCCATATCTCCTTTGTGTTTCTGATCACCAAGTCCAACCATTACAATATGAAGTCCTTGAGGGAATATGCGAGAGTTATATAAGTGGTCGGTCTTTGGCATATTAAGCTATTTGCCAAGGGTGCTGATGGCCTTATATGTAGAAGGATGCCCAATAATATGTTCAAAAATGTGCTAAGTGCCAGAAGTTCGCCCCCATTATCCGACAACTAAATGAAAAGCTTAACCCCCTCACAAGTCCTTGGCCCTTCGCCTAGTGAGGGCCAGCCATAGTCGGGCCCTTACCAAAGACTTCGATAAATAAGAGGTTTTTACTAATAGGTGTTGATTATTTCACCAATGGGTGGAAGCTGAGCCCTTGAACCATATTTGAGACACTGACACCAAGAAATTTATATGAAAAAATATCATAACCTTGTTCGGCATACCTTGGGCCCTCATGTCAAACAACAACACCCAATTCAACATTGGTCCCTTTAATCAATTATGTGAGGGCTTTGACAATCAAAATTTTTATTTGTCCTCTGCCTATCCCCAATGCAACAGGTAGATCCAAGTCTCCAATGAGAATATCCTCGCTGGAATCATGAAGAGGTTGGAAAGGGCCAAGGGGAAGTGGACCGAGGAGTTATTGAACGTTTTGTCGATGTACCGAACAATGGTTGAAGCTCAACTGGCAAGACCCCTTATGCCTTGGCCTATGGGATGGAAGGTGTCATACCCTCTTGAGGTCAGCCTCCAAACCATCAGGAGCCAGACCCTCGAAACTAATGAATAATCAACAAATATCACGGGACCTACACCTTGCCGAGGAAAAGAGGGAACTTGTAGCCATTAGTTGGGCTAAGTATCAGGAAGAGCTGACTAGACAACATAAGAGGATAGTTTGAGCTCAAGAGTTCCAAGTGGGGGACCTATTGCTTCACAAAGTTTTTGAAAGTGCTCAGGAGTCAACCAAAGGGAAGCTCGACCCAAGTTGGGAGGGACCGTACATGGTGGTGTCTGTAAGGGGCTCGGGATCATATAGATTGAAGATCTTGAGGGGAAATCTATCCCTCAACTGTGAAGGGTCTCACACTTGAAAATATTCTTGCATTGAGCAAATGAACAAACTTTTATCAAAATAAAGGATAGCTATTTTTATAACTTGCTTTTTTACACGAGCCTTGGGCTTGGACGTTAAGGGCCATGCCCCGGGTGAGAAATTTTTTGCACCCGAACTTGGGGCATGGCTACAGGCGGGATAAGACTCTGCATTGGCAGAGCACTGTGCCTAAAAAAGACCAAGGGATACGCCTCTCGCCGAAAAGGATACATCCAGTGTGCTGAAAGGTACCCCTGAATGTGTATGCCACATGACACACTAAAAACAAGTGAAGAAAGAACCAAAACGGAAATGTCATTGACATACTGAGGGTTTTGTGTCCCTCAGAGCATACATAAAAGTTAAATGGCCTTGAGGCCTTACATCCAAAGAAAATGAAAAACAGAATAAATACCTACCAGGGTCCCAAGATTGGCTGTCACTACCTAGGCCATCATCATCCCAACCACCTCCTCCTCGGTCCAGTCCAACAGAATAGCCTTGTGTGCTTCCCTGGTCGTCATCGCCTTGGTCGCCACCGTTAGTATAAAATAGATTACCAAAATCCCCCAAGTCCCCAAGAGTGGAGTGACCTTGTTGGCCAGCTTGGGTGCTAGGTGGAGGAGGTTCCGAGCAATCTCCTGCAGAGAAGTGTGCGCTACGGGGGGGGGGGGGGAGCCAAAAAGGGGAAGGATCATCACGTTCGGTCTTGCTTCTGTTGCTTATTGGGATAACAGCACAAGGAGGGACCTACCTTGCGGCGTCGGCTTCACCTTGGGTCTCACCCCATTCCTTGTACAACAAAAGTAGCACAAACGTGGGCTGAAGAAAAGCTGTGAGCTCCCGATGGCCTTGATTTAGAGCTTCAGTTTTTGAGGTAAGCAGTGCATTTAATGCAAATTCAAAAATGTGCTACAATCGGGCGTGTAACGGTTCCCAAGAAGCGGCTTGCAAGGGAAGCCTTCTATTTCCTCACGCCACGTGGCCCACGATGTTAGCAAGCTGAAGGCTAGGTGTAGTTGACGAGAAATTAATCGGTGGGCCTATCACTGAATAACTGGTCAATGAAAAGAATTCCCACCAAGAGTATTCAGCTCCCTAAGAGGGATAAACCAAGGTGGACCCGCCAGACTGAGCCCTCTTGAAATCCCTTGGTACTATTTGCAAAACCCCGGGGGGATGTCTTGTCCCAGGCCCGAGTAGTAACGATGATCCAACATGTGAGTCCATTAACATAATAGGTAATAGGGAAAGATTAGTTGCGCCGTCACATCGATGTAGGGACACTCACTGAATCCCAAAATTGTCGGTTAAAGGTATGATCCTTGTTGACGTGGACCGGTCGAGAAGGGTATCATTTAATGATTGGTGTGCACCACTTAAATAAACCAAGGTGGACCCGCCAGACTGAGCTCTCTTGAAATCCCTTGGTACTATTTGCAAAACCCGGGGGGACGTCTTGTCCCAGGCCCGAGTAGTAACGATGATCCAACATGTGAGTCCATTAACATAATAGGTAATAGGGAAAGATTAGTTGCGCCGTCACATCGATGTAGGGACACTCACTGAATCCCAAAATTGTCGGTTAAAGGCATGATCCTTGTTGACGTGGACTGGTCGAAAAGGGTATCATTTAATGATCGGTGTGCACCACTTAAATCTCGGCATTGCTCATTAAATGCTAGACAAAGGTTAAAAATCCCGGACAGGGCTCATTGAATGCTCGGTCTTCCGAGCAAGGTAATCATTGCAACATTTGACCTCGAGTGACCGCCGACCTCTCCTGGGCTTAATAAATGCGTGACTCAAGGGCGAGAGTAGCCACTAACAAGTCACCTCTATGAGTGACTGGGTGGCCGGTTTGATGTGACCTTCTGGACTCCACGTCATCACCTCTCAAGATAGAAATTGCTCAATAGATGGGACCTCTGGTACACACATAGAACTCAGCTCCCACTGTAGCACTGTTATCATCTCACTTGAACACCGGCTGACTTAGGCATTGGAGGGGATACGTCGGATACGCATCCAGTCCTTTCCTAACCCCATTCCTTGTTTCAAGAACCCTCATGGTGTCGCTTTCTCAACGATTGCAAAAAAATCAACCCGTGCAGTTTTCTTCTTTTCTTTTTTTTTTCCTTTCCTTATATATGGTTGTAAATCCGTCATTGATCAATGCATTGGTTGGGCAATCCATGGTGGGTTGATTATTAGTATTTGCTATGCAATTGAAAATGAAATTATACTGTTCCATTTTGTTTGGAAATTCAATGGTCCCTAATTTGTCCACCAAAAACTTTAAAATTATCTGGTCACCTTTGCACCGTAAATTTCCTTATTCTTTTGGTTTCATTTGTTGAATTCTTTGATCTCCTATCTGCATTACCTTAAATCTTAGAAAACTTCTTTTTGCCTTGGAACATTAGTTGATTATATTAAATGTCATATTTTGGCATGTACTAAGAGTGTCCCTAAGCTATGATTTATGCTGGTGCAGAAAATGTTCACAGTATTTTTAACAAGGGACAGAAGTGGACTCAGGCCTACTGGGTATGGGAAAAGTTTTTTCAGGGCACCTTCTGTAAATTCTACCCCATGTGAAAATTCCTTTTTGGTATATAAATTTTTTTAGTATGTGTATGCTTGGAGAAATACATTCTTGCTGCCGTTGATGTACATTAACATGGTAGGGTCAACTTAAGATTGATGTAAATTAGCATGGTAGGATCCGCATCTTGAGTACATGCTAAAAACGTGGAAAGTGGTAATGGAGAGTGAAGGATTAGAATTATGAAACCTTGAGAACTAAGTTTCTAATCTAGGTATCCTTTCTATTCTAGATATGTTTTCGAATATATTAAATCACTTCAAATCATCAGTGGTTTCCAAATATCTCTCTATGGGTAGAAAGAATAAAGCCTTGATGATGTCATAATTTATCTGTGTTACTTTTTTGTCTTTATGCCTCCTGATTTCATTTTGATAGATGTATCCATTTTATCTTACAGGATGAGTTCGCTAGCTTGCCGGCTATTGTTCCGAAGGGTCCCATTGCAATATTGGGCTTGGTAATTCGTTGTTCTTGCTATACGCCGGCAAATCTTTTTTGGGTTTTCAGTTTATGTTATTTTGCTGAACTGAAGTAATGAGTTTATGAGCACCTAGAGTAAGAAAAAGGGCCAAAACTTTCAGGGCGGTGGAACAGCTGCTCATCTGATGCTAGACTTGTGGCCTTCATTGCAGCTAGAGGGCTGGGAAATTGATGAAATTGTAATGAACCTTAACTCTCTCTCTCCTGTAGATACGTTTATGTATGCAGTTATTTGCAAAATATGCCCTTTCATCCTCCTCTGTTCTGCTGGCCTTAATCCTCTGCTACCCCTTTAGGGGACTAAGGTAATTTATGAGCCATTCAAGCTTCTTGGATTCTTCATGCTATTTTGAAAAATGCAAGGAAGGTATCAGATTTCTTCTCAATATGCTCCAGAACTGTTTAGCAATTTTAAAATTGAAAGCAGTCCTTTATCGCACCTTGCCTCCATTTTGGCTCCTTAGAGCCTGCCAAACATTCTCCTCAAAAAACAGCCTTTGTGCAGATTATCTATTTTGCTCCGTAATCACGTCTAACTCCAAGCCATCCAGAAGGTGCCTTTTATATCCCTGAACCCAAGTACAGTACTAATGACGTGAATTATATCCCATTTAACACACTCATCCCTACTCCACACCTCTTTGCAGTTGTGATGCATATTCCCTATGTGAATGCCTCACCTTTAGCACCGACACCTTGCTTATGGTATGCACAACTAATTTTAAACTCTTTAGGGAGTGACAAGTATCTTATGCCTTTCTTTGTTTGATGGTACAACAATTGACTTATAGGTCAAATGCAGTAAGGTTTTATAACAAAGATTGCATCATGAGATACAATTGTGAAAACAATGCTTTAGCCTTTGTTATGGACTTCACAGTTTTTTTCTGAATTCCAAATAATATTAATTGATGAATTTTTCATTAACTTTAACTACTTGAATTTAGTGGGCTATTTTGAGAGTATTATGTTGTGGATTTCTGTGAATGTTGGTACTCTTGAGATTGTATACTGATTACATTTTTGGACCTTTATAAATGTCCTTCGATGAAACAGTTGGATGCCGGTTGGCTTTAGGAAATGTTGTCAAAAATCTAAGGATGGATATGGATACAGGGAATAGATATGACTCTAACAGACATGCTGGCATAACAATTCTAAAGTTAGGGACACGTGAACAATAAAAGTATTTTCACATATTTATGAAGGAAATCAACTTCGAATATAAGGAATGTAGATAAATCAATAGCATCAAGTCCACCCAGAAAGATAGAAATGAACAAGTGGACAGCAGTCAAATGAAGCACTAGTGGAAGCTAGAAAGACTTGTTAATACAAACGGTCAACCAAATTGCAATCGTAATCAACAAAAGAAAATTAAGTTCCAAATCAGAAGCTTTTGAAAAAATAGAACTTGGAGAGAGAGAGAGTACGAGCTGAATGTGCAGACCTGAGCTCATTGCAGATTGTTTGAGTGTCACACATCATGCATCATGCATCATGCATGCAAGTGCCATCTGTCGTCATCTTCACCATCTCTCTCTCTCTCTCTCTCTCTCTCTCATTGAGTAAAGAAAACCAGTGGCCCCATGCTGTCCCCACTAAGCCTTTTCTTATTCTTTTCCATTAAGTCTTAAAGTCGTTAGCAACTTGACCCCTTTTTTTTTCAAATTACTCATTGACCTAAGGCATGTCCAGCCCCTATCCATGCATGTCCTCCTGTGGGTCATTACATGTCCTCACATGTCCGAGATTGAAAAAATAAAAAATACAAAGAATTCTGAACAAAGTCTTACCGTGTCTGATTCTTGTCTGTGCATGTCCATATCTGGTCTGACATGTCTCAGACAGCCTCTAGATATGTGTCGATGCTTCCGAGTAAAAGAAATTTTAGGACTTATATTCCTCTTCTCATTGAAGTTAGCCTTTTTTGCTAAAGACTTTTCTGTAGTTCTCCCAATGCAGAATTGTAATTTTCATGAGGTAGTACTTCATCTCAAGCTGCCTCAGTGTTAAACCTTGTACCTTATGTTTCTAATGTCTTTGGAATTTACTTCAGTTGATTGATAAAGCAAGAGAGTATCTCTGGCTGTCTGATCTTGAGATGCACACTCAAGATGGTGGCATTCTTCATGTTCATGTTGGTGATGCAGTTTCCCCATTAGTGACAGTTCCTGGAGGATATGCTGGTAAGTTCAGTCGAAAACTTATGCTGTGGACCTTAGAACTTTGGCTTGTTTCCCTCTGTTTCATGGATCTGGATTCAGAAGCATCATCCCAATTTTTCAAAATAGCTAAATAAATCCTGCTTCTCCTTTCCAGTTGAGCAATGGCCTTATCTTCATCTAAACCATGAGGTTATGCATATTAGATCACATCAATCCATTCTCTGCCCCTGCAGTTACCTTCAGCTTATATAACTCATTAATAATTTTTTCTTTTTCTTTTTTTTTTTTTAAAAAGAACACCATATTTCTTCTTTGATATGGATGTGCATGCGTACACATGGGTGCATATACATTCTAGGATATCTTTTGCTTAGTTTCATTTGTTACAGTTCCCCTTATTGGTGTGTGTGCATTAATCATTCAGGAATTGTTGTCGATTTATTTTCTGATGGAAAGATTCTGCCACAATTGCAAGAAGTATGTACTTTCTTTATCTATTACTTACATCAGTGCACTTAAAAGTTGTACATATTGCCATGTTATGACTTCTGCTGATTTATGTTTAGATAACATGATACAAACTTAATTCATACTTGTGCTGACAAAAAATCTGTTGATAGTTTTTTTCGATTTTTTGGCTCTATAAGTTGATCTGTATAATATTTTTTTCACAATTCGTTTATGTTGTATGCTGCTAGGATCTGCAATTTAGGATTTGGTAATTAATGTCCTCATATACAATACATCTTAGAAACTAATTAGAGAACTCTAGAAAGTTCGGTGAATAGAAAAATCTTTAGGGTATTGGTACTTGACTACTGTTGTCATTCCTCCTACTTGAGTTTTTTTTGTTTTTTTTTTTTTTTGGACAAGGCTGTCTGTAAGTCTATTCTCCTTGGCTATGGGTAATATTCGGAGAGCCATTGCTTGATGCAACATTAAAAGCTCAGGCTGAAAACTGTGGGATTATGGGTTCAAAGGTTAGGTTCATAACCGATTCAACTCTGATGACATCATCAACTAATGGGATCAAGCACAATCATGTCCTTATATCTTTTCCCGCATATATCATTTTTGAATGATGCGTAAGCACTGGGAGGTTGCGAATAAATTAGCCAAACTAGACTTCAGTTTTGCGCTTTAGTTAATTTAGGAGTTCAAATATTCTTTTTTTTTATGCATTTTTAATTTGGTTATTTTGGCACTGTATCTCATGGAATAATCAGTCCTGTATTGAAATACGAGTGGAAACTTGGAAATTCTCTCACGTTATTCTCTTCTCTTTGTTTTCTTGTTCTTTCTTCCTTTCTCTATTCCTTTTTGTTTTTCTCTCCTAATCAATATTCCCTACTATCTAGTCCTACATCAATTGGTATCAAAAGCCTTATTTCGGCTTAAACAGTGTTACTGCCAATCCGTTCTCTTGGTAATTGCTTATCATCATGGTTCAAGCTAGTTGTATTGGCCACCGCTTTAGGGGCACTAATCCATTGGTTGTGGCGTCTCATAATAGTATCTGGCGGTACACACGAAATGCTAGATAGAAGGAGTTGAACATGCCTAGAGATTCACGTCATATCGTTACATTGCAGGCTATTGACGGATGATTCAATGACAATGGTTCGAACGGTTCAAGGTTGACTCAGAGTCGTCTTGGATGACTTGAGACTCTTAGACAGAAAATGGAATGGTACTGAAATGGAAACAAGTCGTCTCGGTATTCACTTGTCATTGTCAAAGTCAGTCGTCTTTATTGTTGCCACTGTTTAGTTTTTGCTTTTTTTGTGATAAGAAACAGAAGATTTTTATGTAAGATAAGTCAAGTTACATTGCCACCGTTCAGTTAAGTCTCTATTCATTGTTGATGGTGCCATATTGCTTCTTGTTGTTGCTACTTTCTTCGTCGATAGTCTTATGTATTGTTGTCATTGCCGAAAACTAAAATAACCCGTTGTTGTTGTCCTCGCGATGTTCTTCAACATCTTCCTCCATTGTCACGGTTGTCATGGCCATCATCTTTGTTTTGTATTCAACACATTTATACTAACAAATTGGAAACAACTTCAAGAAATTTGTTATTGAGCCTCATAGTCGTGATCATCAGAATTAGATTGCATTGACCTTGTCTTATAATTGTTCAGTTGTCATTGTTGCTTTGATGTTTGCAGTAAAATCGATATTTGTGGGTGTCTGTGGATACAAATTACAAAGCCCCATTTTCTTTCAATTTTTTTTCTTTGTGAAGCTCTCGCAATCACGCAGCAATAGCCCAACATCGTCACTTCTTCCCAATGACCGACACCGTAAACCTCCGCTCGCATTGAAGGAACAAACCCATCAAATGTTCTCTCTCTCGACGAAAAGTCTAAAGACTAAAACACAATCTTTGGCCCTGTTTAAATGTGGATTGTTTTTTTTTAGGTGAGGCTAAATATTTTGGCCAAGTATGAGTCATATGGTACTAAACATAATTCCACAACACTTCTGTAAATATATATCTCCTTAAGACTTAAATATATTGAATAACGTAATTGGGCTAAATATCTAACAGGCCTTGAGTTTTCGTCAAATGGTACGGATATGCCCTAACATTCCAAAATGACACGATGACTCGAAGCTGTTGTAAATTTTAGTTGGCATTAACAATTTGAATAAATGACTTCTTTGACCCTCAAATTTGGTAGTTAAAGAAATAAAAACAAAATCAGACTCGACACAACCCCACACCCAAATTTGTCAAGACTTTTAGGAGATGTGAAGAATGACATGATGAAGGTTTTAATGGAGTTCTTTATTAATATAGTGGTGAATGTTAATTACTAATGTGACTTATTGATTTAAAAAAAATCCGGTCAAGATACTCTTATTCCTATCTCCTCAGCTCTTGAGTCACCACCCCTAGTGTTAATGTCTCCTCCTATACCATCCACCACGCTGTTTACTCTCGCCGACTGGGGCCACTTACTACTACTCCACCACTAGCTTCCTCGTCATCTTTTAGAGTCACATGCTTTTGTTTCGTCAGATTCTCTACCCATTGCACTTCGTAAAGATATTTGTTCTTGTGTTACTCTCTATCCTATTGGCAACTTTGTTTCTTCTCGTTTATTATCTCTGTTGCTTTCTTGTTTTACCTCTCCGTTATTTACTATGTCTATTCCTAATACTGTATCAGCTATCTTATCTGACTCATATTGGAGGAAAGCTATGGTCAAAGAGATGCATGTTATTCATCATCACAATCATATTTAGGATCTTGTCGCATTGCCTCCAGGTAAAGCAGGGTGTTGGGTGCCAGTGGGTCTACACCATCAAATTTCATCCAAATGGTTCTATGGATCATTTCAAAAGCTCATCTGGTTGTCTAAGGGTATACACAAACCTATGGTGTTCACTATGCGTAGAGTTTTTCTTCAGTTGCTAAGATATCTTCTGTTGGGGTTTTGATTTTTCTTGATGCTAATCTTGATTTCAGTTATATATTAAGAATACTTTCTTATATGGTGGCTTAGCAACCCCTTGGGTTTGTTGCGTAGGGGGAGTATTAGGGGGGGCTGTACAAATTAAAGAACGCATTATATAGGCTAAAACAGTCTCCACGAGCATTGTTTGAAAAATTTTCAAATGTGGTATTGGATATTGGTCTTTATAGATGTCACACAGATCATTCGGTATTTATTTTGCGTACTAATGCAGATAATATTCTTCTTGTGGTTTATGTTGACAATATTATGATTATAGGAGATGATTTTGTGGGTATTGCCAAGTTGAAACAACTCTTGCATCATTAATTTCATACTAAAGATCTAAACAAATTTTGTTACTTTTCTTGGTATTGAGGTTGTTAGATTAAAATGGGGCATAAACTTGTTTTAAAGAAAATATGTGCTTGACATTTTGGTGGAAAATTGTTTTCTAGGTGGTCGACCAGTTGATACTTGGATTCAAATCATAAACTCTAAGTAGGCGAAGGTGAATGTTTCGTAGATTCTGGACAGTAATGTCGACTAGTTGGGAAGTTGAATTATTTCACTATTACTCGTCCAAACATATCATATATATTAAGAATAGTAGGGTAGTATGTGTAATTTGTTAATAATAAGAGGGTGTATATGTAATTATTGTTATTGTAGGTTAACTATAAATACAAGTGATGTATGAGAGTTAGGTTAAGTTTTTAACGTCTCTTTCTCTCTAATATTGTCTCTAATATTGTGTTACATTGATCCTCTCAATTTGACATGGTATTAGAGCCAAATCAATACAAATTTTAACTGTTATGCTGCTCATCGTGGTTGTCGTGGTCCATCGTGTTTGTGCTGGTTGTGCTGGTGGTGGTGGTGATCGACTGGCGTGGTTGACGTTGCTGTTCATCGGGTCTGTTCGTTGGTGGGGGCTTTTGGTTCTCCAATTAGGTGGTGGTGGTTGTTCTTGGTGTAGTCAATTGTGGTGACGTTGTAGTCTTCGGTTGTGTTGTGTTGCTCGTCTGTGTGTGGAGTAGTGTGGAGCATTAGGGTTTGCTCGTTGGAGAAGAAGACATCCAAGTCCAGACCCTGATCCATACTCGGATCCAAACTCAGATCCAGCAGCCTCAGACCAGACCGGTTCAAGCCTGGTTCAAGACCGGTTCAGGCCCGATTCAGTGAGGTCCAGGTCCGTTTCAGTCAGTTTCAGCAGTCAAGTCAGCCTATTCTTCCCGGTTCAGTGGTCTAGTGAGTAGCTTTGGTCTGGTTCAGCTCTCAAGTGGACTTCTCTAGTCCGATTTAGCAGTCCAGTCAACCTATTCTTCCCGGTTCAGTGGTCCAGCAAGCCTAGCTAGTCTGGTTCAGTCTTCTAGCAGCTTTCTTTTCTCTGGTTCTACATTGCAACATCTTTTGTTCCATATTTGCTGCACTATAATGGAACCCAAGGAAGATACCAGGTCTCTTACTCCGTCTTTGCCACCCCCATTCTTATCAATGGTCCTATTACCTCTCTTAGACTCAATGGGACCAATTATACTTTATGGTCCCGATCCGCTTAAGTATTCCTTCGAGGCAAAGAATTTAAGAAATATTTGGTGGATCCTAAACCCAAGGAAGATACTCCTGGGTATGATCAGTGGGAACAAGAGAATGCTCAAATTATGTCTTTACTCCTGAATAGCATTGAGCCTAGTATTAGTTCCACTCTACTCTACCTTGACACAGCCAAAGGAGATATGGGATCACTTGGCCACTATGTATTCTGGTATAGGTAATTTTACCCGTGCGAATGAGGTGTGCAAGGATTACTTCCGGTTAGAGCAGGGTACTCTGAGTCTTGCGCACTATTACTCTCATGTTTGGGGAGTCTGTGAGGAGATGAAGACCTACCATCTGTTTACTATTGATGCAGCAATTTGGTAGAAGCAACATGAAGACCTGAATGTTGTTAGGTTTTTGATAGGATTGAAACCTGAATATGAGGCTATTCATTCTCAGATTTTGGGTGGTTCTAGTCTTCCATCATTGCTTGAGATTTTTTCTCGTTTACAACGTGCTACATTGTCTACTCCTTCAGGTATTGATCATGGTGTCTCCACTGATCGCTCAGC